GGTATCTTCCGTTAAAGAGTCATTTATTTTTATACTGTACTTCACAAAAATACGCGACGGTTTTTGAAGGAGGGTAGGATATGTAGAGGATTTATTCAGGACTGTGAGCATTACGAACTGAGCTAGGGTGCTAACTATAACTACCGTATTATAGGTACAAGAGATAAGCTTGTAAACTTACTGTTCCAAACCCAAGTTTTTTTGCTAAAAACGGATATTTTTATATGATTAGAAACGCTACGTGTTTACGTTCCGTTTTCTTAGGATCATCGTATGTATTTGAATGGTGGAGCAGACATCACGATTGAGCTCATCGCGCAGGTTACCAATGAGTTCCTGTTTCTCCAAGGCGGCAGTAACGGATGGGGAAAACTGTAAAGGTATATATTCTTTTCTCCATTTCCAATAGTCATTGATGAATAAAATCAGGTCTTATATAGATCTTTTTCAAAGGGGTGTTTTAAGGGTCTGTGAACATCGCCTGCTAATAGGCACCTTACGTTTGGCCTTTACGACAAACGTATGGAAAGTGTGAAGATTTAATCCGTTTGTTTGATTATATATATATAATTAGGTATATTATATAGATATTTATAATATATTTACCTTTGTAGGCAGTTTGTAAGAAACCAACCATTTGCCATCGAGTTGTGTTCCTTCTTTAATAAAGGCAGGTTGAACGTCATAAGATTGGATTTCACGCGGCTGAAAAAACAACGTTCCGCATGTTATACATAAAAAGCACGAGGTCTTTTCGGCCGAAACGACCAGTGACAGCGCTTGGGTACGTAAGTTCGACCCGGGAAGATATTTCCAGCCTACGTTGCCTGTGTACCTCTGAACCTGCTTAAGCGTTTTCACAGGTCTAAAACGTACACTATACGCACCAAAACTTAGCCAAACCGGGCCGATACCTGAGGACAAGCTAGGTCTAAAACTATAGAATATGAATAGAATACCATCGAGTGTGCCTGTTTCACTTGTTCCGTCGGTGTAAAATCTACTATCTCTTCAATAGGAGCGACCATATCATAAGCCAAAGACTCTACCATGATTGCTACTGGGAATTACGTTTGCTTGTTTGTTTGTCTGGTCAACTTCGTCCGTGATGGCTTGCATTATTCGAACAATTTGTACCGCCTTTATATTTATAGATCTTAAAAGTGGATATGTATATATATATATATATATATATATATATATATATATATATATATATATATATATATATATATATATATATACTGTCGTTGTCAAAAAGGTTGTCCTGAGCAAGTATATGTATATATCGATCACGTGACATTATTATGCATCAACACGCGTGGGATTGTACAAGCGTGTAATTGCGAGTTCGAGTATAGCAAGGTGAACGATTAAAAAATGCCAAGACCATATTTCGATGATTTAAGGTGGAGAATGGTTTATCAACGACTGTTCTACGAAAGAATCATCGACGAAATTGCAGCACAGCTATTTGTTTGTTCAAAAACCGTCTATCGTACTCTCAGCACCTTTTGGAACACGGGTGATGTAACGCCTTGCCGTATGGGTCGCCCAACAGCGAGCGTATCTTAATTCCCACACGAAGAATATATTATCATGGGCTGTTTTACTGCGAACGTCGCAAATATAGTTGAATGAGATAGCAAGCTATATGTAAACCTCTTCAATAGGATTCAAATCAGGACTGTCGTACACTCGTTCTACAACTTCTTGTACATGATGTGTTGGGTGGTTATCTGTTAACAAATATGCATATATTACTAGTTTTAGCAGTTGCATCTTTGTGCATCAACAAGTTTTGTTTAAACAGACATTAATAGATCAAAACATTATCACAAATTCAGTCATCCCTTGAGACATATGTTAGAACAGCGAATTTGCATTAATTATATTCAAATCTCAACCATAACGAGAACGGATCCGGGTTTTCCCCATCAAATCGATTCATAGCTGGTAAAAGCTGTTCATCAAAAAAATGGATAAAGGAGCGTGTTTCAAATCTTTCTTCAGGATTCTTTAACAAACAGTTCGCAAGAAGTCCATCACACGATTTTGCCGAAATAATGGAATAGCGCGGTGTCCACCGTGCATAGCTATAGTCGCTCACAACAGGCGGTATCCCACGAGCACTATATCCATATTGCCGAGCAATTCGTTTATCCTTAAAACGTAGAACCACCAAATAAATAAAAGATCTACTAGTTTGTGCAATCCAGTTACAGTAAGGTATTATTTAGTACATACAATGCCTGTTTCATCGAGGAAAACGAGCAGGTTTGGGTCAAAGGCTGATTTCGGCCATGAATTGTAGCCCAATATCGTTTCTTCGCTGAAGGGCAATTCTCTGTATCTGAAAAAGAAAATCTGGCTTAAAGAGTTGATAAAGAACAACTAGAATCTTGTAATAAATTGGAGAAAGGTGGAATGGCTTGCGTCTTATTAATATAGTTATATGATTTCCAGCGTGCGGTATTAAGTATATATTCCAACTTAAATAATGTCATAATGTTCGTACCTTTTTGCGTGTTATTCCAAGCCTAAAGAGAGCTCGGCACAGTGTCTCCGGGCCAAATGCAGAGCCAGTAGCATTAATGACAAAGCTTGCTATCTCATTTAACTGTATTTGCGGCGTTCGCAGTAAAGATACGCTCGCTGTTCGCGGGAATAAAGATACGCTCGCTGTTGGGCGACCCATACGGCAAGGCTTCACATCACCCGTGTTCCAAAAGGTGCTGAGAGTACGATAGACGGTTTTTGAACAAACAAATAGCTGTGCTGCAATTTCTTCGATGATTCTTTCTTAGAACAGTCGTTGATAAACCATTCTCCACCTTAAATCATCCGAATATGGTCTTGGCATTTTTAATCGTTCACCTTGCTATACACGAACTCGCAATTACACGCTTGTACAATCCCACGCGTGTTGATGCATAATAATGTCACGTGATCGATATATACATATACTTGCTCAGGACAACCTTTTTGACAACGACAGTATATATATACTGTATATGTATATATATATATATATACTGTCGTTGTCAAAAAGGTACATATATATATATATATATATATATATATATATATATATATATATATATATATATATGTATATATATAGGATGAGGATGGTACTCGGGAAAGGGAATGATTATAAAGGGAATGACTATAGGATGAGGATGGTACTCGGGAAAGGGAATGATTTGTAGTAGGATGACACCGAGTGGCAGCCCGCCATGGCAAGCAGAAAATTCTACTTGACCACGGCAGGATTTGAACCCGCGGCCTTCGGTATACTAGTCCGATGCTCTACCAACTGAGCTACATGGCCAACTGCGGGTTTTTGATATTTCGAAACAATACTAGTTTCTTCGATATCATGAGCTTATCAGCTCAAAGGTGGATTAATTAGGATGAGGATGGTACTCGGGAAAGGGAATGATTTGTATTAGGATGACACCGAGTGGCAGCCCGCCATGGCAAGCAGAAAATTCTACTTGACCACGGCAGGATTTGAACCCGCGGCCTTCGGTATACTAGTCCGATGCTCTACCAACTGAGCTACATGGCCAACTGCGGGTTTTTGATATTTCGAAACAATACTAGTTTCTTCGATATCATGAGCTTATCAGCTCAAAGGTGGATTAATTAGGATGAGGATGGTACTCGGGAAAGGGAATGATTTGTAGTAGGATGACACCGAGTGGCAGCCCGCCATGGTAAGCAGAAAATTCTACTTGACCACGGCAGGATTTGAACCCGCGGCCTTCGGTATACTAGTCCGATGCTCTACACTGTTAATTTTGAGGTGCTAGAATAACACCAGCGTAGGTGCCAAATCAACACATTGCAGTGGTGTTAAATAGAAAGTGCTATTTTGACACCAATTTCGGTGCTAATTTAACACCACCAAATCTGACATTACGCTAAAAGTGCCAATATGACACCTTATAATTTCAGCACCTTTGCAAGGTGCTGAAATAGCACCTATTTTGCAGACGGAAAGTGCTAAAATTACGCCAGATTGAGAGTTAAAGTATGGGGTGTCAAAATTACACTAAATGGCGGTAGAGAATTTTCGACTTTATTACAAAGTCATCTTCAGACAGAATGGATAGGGAAAGAGCGGTTATTTAAGTTATTGGAAAATAAGTCCGTATTTTCGAATCAATGTTTTGGAACAAGAAATTCCTGTTCGTTTTCGCACAACTATTCATCTGAGTGATCTGACGACATGGAAATTCGGCTTGTTCCTATGATACAAAAAAAACAATAGAGACGAATACTAGACAAATGGTACATCGATAGTGATGCATTGTCCTTTTCATTTCATCAAACTATGTTATTCCGTGCTATATTTTCGGACTGCCTATGTATTGATTGCTACAAAGTATTTATTTCGCAATCGCCTGATATGTATGTCCATATAAGGAACAAAATATAACACGTGATCAGCGCCTGTATGCAAATTTTGAGCGCGTCGTTTGAAAACTCTTTTGAATCGTATTTCATACTGCCGTGTTGAAGACGTTTTGAGCGTATTTTCTTAACTATTTTGGTACTTCTAAATATGCTGAACAGCAACAGACTCACATAAGGAAATATCAAGACAATTGGCTATGATATTATCTCAGAAATATCTTGGTAAGTTGAATTGAATTGAATTTGATCGAGTACGGAGGTCCACGTTCGCTCAAACGGCCAAATCGCCAAACAAACAAATGTGTGTTATTTATTCGAAGTGGCTAGACAGCCGGCAGCCGGCTGTATAGTTTTTACTTGTCAAGCCTAAATAACCGGCAGCCGGCCATATTGTTGCTTGAAGTCAGCTTGAAATACTAAACGGCCGGCAGTTATCTAATCTGCAGTATCCACGTATTGTCTACACGAGTATCCTAATACAAAATGCCAAGAATTCGTATTTTCGCACGAATAAAGTTTATTAAATGCCATTGTATATATATCGTGTTGTTTTATAAATAATTTGCAGTAATTGAGCCGTCATACATGAGGAATCCGAATATTTTCCCCTTTTTTTACTTGTTATTCTCTGTTTGAAGAAAATGGTTTCGAGTACAAGATATTTGCGACTCGTATAAACCAGTAAAACCACTACTCAGAAGCTTTTGTTTATATGTATTATTGCAAAAGCGCTGTCTGGCCCCTAATAACCTGGGAACAAAAACGTGCGCGACGCGCGAAAAAGACACGCTATTGCGCGCCTACGCGGTATATACAGATGGCGGGAAGTTGGAATATTCAACAAGTCAATTTGTAATACAAATTTCCAAGATTGTATCCATATGGCTGAAAACAGTAAAGGTAAATTGGAATACACTTAGAAATCTTGCTCAAACTCAAATATTTACTTTATTTACTAAATTTTAAACTATTTGTTCAGAAGAGATCGCAGCAAATATCAACCTAAGCCTAGTACAGGTATCTAATAATCAGTGGCTCAATGACGAGGTAAGACAAGCTTTATACAATCCATTTGGCGTATGGCTACTGTTTCCCAAATCCCAATGGCAAAGCTAACCATAGTGCAAGTGGTCATCGAATGGTCATCCACACATTTGCTAGCCCCCCCCCCCCCTCCCCAACTGACTAAATATACCCCTAAGGAATTAAATCCGCTTTGTATAATCCAGCCAGTACCATCCCTACAGTATTGTATCATTCTGTTCTTGTTGGTGCTTCCCATTACGGTGCAGAGTTCTATGGTGGGCCGTACTTTGACCCACTGTTGATTACTACAATGCATTGCCACATTACTAGTTTACTGTATGGTATTTATACTCTGTCCAACAGATGAACTTACACTCATTTAAGGGAGAGTTTTGCAGCTTAAGGATAAGGCAAGCTTTTCTTAGAGGTTACTAATTTATAATCATTAATTGTTTGGTTCCTTTCTAGATAATAAATTTCTATGGAAATCTTCTACAAGAATGCGCACAGAAGATGCCTGTATGTATATGATTCATTATGTTATGCTACATACATGCATGCACTTCATAATCAATTAATCAAGGATGCTATGTCTAAACACACTATTATACTATAAGCTGTTGAGGAATACATGGCCAATTGCAAAACCATGCATACATTCAAGGCAACCATGGTGTCCCATGATATTGCACTGTATGGTATTACTACACAATAGTGTACATGTGTTATGAATTTTATATGTGTCTTGATCATATATTCCATTGCATGTTCTCTGATAATAATTAGAATAGGTGAGCATTGCTAGGTTTACTGTATATGTTAATGTTATAATTGATTGATTAATTAATTATTGGTATATATATGTATATTGTCTCTTACAGAATGTATCAATCACAATTAAAAACAGCTTCTGTTTCACAAAGTTTAAAAAAGAGGAATTTTCCAATTCATTTGCTAGATGGATGGACAAGGTACACCTGTAGCAACTGGAGAGCCTGCTTGCAGGCTATATTATTAATAATATCAATGCGCCATTCCTCTTTTGAATTTCGAAAGTTAACAGTACAGCAGAAAAAAACATGTAAAATACAGAAAATATATAGCCCTGTGATGTTGGCAAATTTTTTATATTTTTGTATTTGTGTGGAAAATGCTTACCCCTTTTTTTAAAGTAGTAGGGGATTAAGCTATACTGTTTAACTTGCCTAGTCCGAAAGTCTAAAAAGGAATGGTGCATCTCTGTAGGTGGTAAAACAATAAACAAAATAATAAAACAATCATGTGTTAATTACATTTTTTCTGTTTTTAAAAGTGACTGACAATACCTCGATCAATTAAGTAGTACTGCTCTAAATTGTATGCATTATTTATGTTGCAACACTATAATTATGTTGAGAAATAACAAGATATTGCTAGATAGTCAACTGTTAATTACATATGATAAAAAATAATTTATTTGTATTTTTTAGGATAGTTCAGTTCTAAGTGACTTGCTCATGTTCCCTATCAATGAAGATAAACACTGGACACTATGTGTATGTATGACATGTGCATGCATGGACTAGCAGAGTAGACTACTTTATTAGTGTACTACATATGACATATTGTATAGTATATTTTAGCTCACATGTACATGTAATTAAGTAATTTTGTATCTAACCAAAGGTGGTGGACAAAAGAAATAAAGTTGTCACCTACTATGACTCCTTGGGTGGTACAGATTGCATACCTGACTATGTTGTGGATCATTTAAAATTAATAAGGTAATACGTCAATTCAGAAGTAATGAGTATAAATGCAGTCCTGTTAATTATGTACTTTGTCTAAATACACATTTATTTTTAGAAAACTTGTTACTCACCTATACCCTGAACATAATTCAGAGTCTTGGAGTTTTGGGACTGCAAAAGTAAGTTACTAGCTGTCATATGTGCATAGCATATAGCAGTACGTTGGAAGGCAATTAAGACAGATCACTGTAGCATAACAGCGAGCAAGACAGATCATGCACTGATATATGTTCATTGTTAAAAAGTGGTATTAGTCAGCTTTGGATGATTTAATTGACCCTCGGCCACATATAGTAACATAAAATTTATAGTAACATAAAATTATTATTTTGCAACCAAAATGCTATGATTAGAACAGGTAGTAGCTATTGTTATTGGCTGCTAGAGTATCTTCACCTTGTTGGTCAATGATGTCACTGTATTCATAAAGATCCTTAAAGTTGTTACTTCAGATAACCCCCGACACTAGACTTGGATGAAACATTGGGTCTTGAATTTCTAAGTGACAGAGATACCTGGTTGCTGTGAGCAGGCTAACTTTATGTTATAATTAAATGTTGCTGACTGGTGATTAGAAACGGAGGCAGTTTATGTTAATTAAATATTATTTTGTTCATTGACACAATTTATTAGGATATTCCGAAACAAGACAACTACATTGACTGTGGAGTATTTCTGTGTCAGGTAGGTATACTGTAATATGCAAAACAATTATGATAGGCAATCAGTATTAAAATGCTATGATCATTAAACCTGGTATGTCTTTTTAAACTATAAGAAATGTCTATAAGAAATAGCTATAAGAAATAGATGGATGTCCTCTTGAAAATTTAAATTCAGTTTTGTAGTAAGAATGCAGTATGGCTGGCCATACTGCATGTTTACTACAAAACTAAATTTTCAAGAGGACCAAGGATCGAGAGGGGGGTCTTCAAAAATATAAGATAAATATGGGGAGGTCTTGAAAAAGTATACAACTTTTGGTTTTTTTGTGTCAAAATGTTGGGTTTCTCCTCCACCCCCCCCCCCACCTACCATATTTAATGACCGGTCCCTTAGCAATAAAAACATCAGGCAGAAAATAAATTCTAGTAAAAAATATTATTGGCCAGCAAATAATACTACAAAGAGGCATAATAATTTAATAAAATTTTATTCAAGTAACGTTTCGTTTTAACGTTGCTCAATACAATTTTGATATGCCTTTGTCAAATATTATTTGCTGGGCAAGCTTGAGGGCAATAATATTTTTAACCATAATGTTTTCTATTTCTTCAACTAGTACATGAAGCATTTGGTATTTCAACAGCCATTCTCATTCAACCAGGTATTGCATTTAATTAACTACCTTTGCCTTGTATCCTTGCCTTTGGATTTTTAGTTTGTTAGTTACATGGTGTAGTATATCTGTGATGGCAATGTGTCGGTTTCTTAGTTTTGAGTTTTGGTCCTGCAGTAATTGGTCTCCTAAACTTTTACGTATACACAACCATCATAGTCCTGCATAGCTGCTGTGTGTTTGTTTATTATGTGCAGTATATGTGCTTATTAATTTAACAGTATGTAAAGTAATTCATTAAGCACCATAGCTGTTATACATATTTGCATTTATAGAAAGATATAGCAAAAATTCGATTGGATATGGTGAATGAAATAAGAAACAAAGAAATTAAAGCATGGTAATGATCTGCCAGTTTTGTCACAGTATAATTTATACAGTAGTGTAGTGTACAGTTGATTAGTCGTCACAATGTTGCCATGTTGCCTGCTACCACTCAAGTATTAAAGTTTTCTAAGCATGTTATTCATCATAATCCATTCTATCCTCTCCTGAGATGTTTAGTGTGCAATCATTGAATTCAATACTTTAACTATTTTCATATGTCTTCACATTTAGCGCATTAGAGCGACCATCTGTAACATCACCAGAACAGACTGCGATAGTGTTGCCAGATGATGTAGTTAAATCCTCCCCCTTAAGTGAAACAGGTGACATCCTCTCGATTAAAGAAGAAGTAGATCAAGATGCTAGTAATGACATATTTTACGTTGGTAGAAAGTTCTATACTGTAAATGACTTTAATGAGGCCAAAGCCAAATATGAGGATATTCACTTTTGCGAGCTGTGGAAACGAGATGTCAGAACCCTTGTATCTGCACAGAAGCGAGTCCCCAAACGAGTAGCAAATGCTGAGTTGAGCCTCCAGTACTACTCCCTGAAATTAAGCTGCAAATTTGGAGGAAGAAAAGCAGAGAATAGAGACGACAGAAAGCGTGATACTAAAACCTTTAAACAAGGATGTCAGTTCGAAGTTTATATTGTTTTGTCCACGGACGGAAAAGCGTTAGAAGTTATGAAAATGACCATGGATCACAACCATTCTCTGTCAGAAGAACTGTACAAACATCTACCTCGTCAGCGAAAGCTCACTGGTGCACTGAAAGAGGAAATCCAAGGTGCAGTGCGCCTAAAAGCTAACAACAAACTGCTGCAACAGAAAATACAAACCACGACAGGACAGCGAGTAACATTAAAGGATATTTCAAACTTGAAAACCAAAACCAAGTCGAAAATAAATAGCAATGACCTTGACGTCGTCGTGGATTATCTGAAGACAAAAGAAGGCGCAGTTGTAGAAGTAGCAACGGACGAAGACAGCAATTTTAAGTCTCTTTTCTTTCAAGACCAGTACATGAAACATGCGTACGACAGGTTTCCTGAGCTCCTGCTTGTGGATGCTACTTACAAACTTCTTGATTTGAGAATGCCACTCTATGTGCTGATGGTAGTGGATGGAAATGGCCTTAGTGATATTGTCGCCCTTCTAATCGTTGCTGAAGAGAGTGAAACTGTCATAACAGCAGCCATGGAAGCATTTAAAAGGCACAATCCAGCTTGGATAAGGACTACAGTAATCATGTCCGACAAGGATTTCACAGAACGTCAAGCCTTCGCCAAATGCTTTCCCAGCGCATCCCTACTTATATGCCTTTATCATACACTTCGAACTTTCAGAAGGGAGATAACAGTTGAGAAAATGGGGATAACGTCAGGTGAACGGGACAGAGTTCTTGAGATATTAACCGCAATAATTTATTCCAAAACAGAAGAAGCCTATGAAGAAAACGTAAATCTGTTAAAGGAAACCAAATCAAAAGCTGTAAGAAACTATTTCTTTGACAATTGGCACCCTATAAAAGAGCAATGGGTTTCTTGTTTTAAGGATTCAACTTTTAACCTTGGTGAAACAACCAACAATCGTTTAGAGAGTGCTAATGCGAAGATTAAAAGTGTTTGCTCTCGCTATGCAACACTTTTACAATTTTTTACAGAAATGTTTGCACTCCTTGGAACATTGCGGAATGAAAGGACACACCAGAAAATTATGGCAACATTACGCAAGCCCATATCAATTGAATCGTGTGAGGAGGACATCCGCACATATGCTGAAGTTCTAACACCATACGCTTTCAAACACCTTAAGCGTCAAGTTGAACTTGCCAAACGTTTAACCGTACAACAGGTTTTGTCCGAGAACAAAGTTTTAATAAAGAGTTGTACCTATGGTGAAGTAACAGTGTCAGGTAACACTTGCCAATGCACGTATCCTGTGAAAATGGGACTTCCATGTAGACACATCCTTAAAGCCAGAACTGCGCTTAAGTTATCTCGATTTGATCCTTCCCTCCTCTCTGCCAGATGGACCGTTGAATACTATAATAAAGCTTCTGAGGCAGCCAATGTGCCAACCACATGCGGCATCAGCAACGTCGATGTCCTTCATGAAAGTAAAGAGAAATCTACCACTTTGACGCAAGCCCAGAAATTCCACAAGGCAATGAATGTGGCACGAACCCTGGCTTCACTGGCAAGTGAAGGCGGAATGAAGACATTTGACAGTAGAATGGCTGATCTGCAACAAATTCTCAACCTTTGGCAAGCACAAGACAGTCTTGGAAGATGCAGCAACACTGAAGACACAACAAATATTGATGAAGAAAAGCCCACCAAAACCCAAAACGAACATTTTCGTAACAAAGATCATGACATACCCTATGATAAAAGAGATTTTGGTCCCATTCCCCGTGATCAAAAGAAGGCCAGTAGAAACAAAAACAAATCAAATGTTCCAGGTGACGTTGCCAAAACTTCTCCCACCATCCTCGCTGATAAGTCTAAGACTGCTGGTACATCTTCACAAGTAAAGAGCAAAGAAAATGATTGCAAGCAGAAAGAGCTTAAAAACATAAAAATGCCACCGAAAATGCTCAAGAGAGGAAGGCCCAAAGGAGCGGAATTAACTGTCATTGGGCTACCCAAAGTAAAGAAAGCAAAGAAAGGGTTGCTGCCATTTTGCAAGGTGAAAGCAGTAGAAAAGGACAGGATTCTTTTAGAGTGCTTTGTCCGTTGTTCAGTTGCTAACAACGCAATCCAAAGTGGTGATTTAATACCACCAGAAGAAGTCGAAACAAATCCTCTTAAGCTTCCAGACATGATTCGTGACAAAGAGAATGTCGATTTGAATAGGATTGAGAAATATTTTGTTGCCAATGCATGGAAAGTTGTTCTTAATGTCAGTGAAAAAAAGAACAAGACAAAGTGGATATGTCCTGGATGTTCAACCACAATCAGCAGCAAAGATGAAAGTGTAGCATGTGAAAGGTGCCTGTGTTGGTATCATATTAAATGTACTTCACTGAAAAGACCACCCAAGACAAGGAATTGGTTTTGCAGCAAATGCAAAGCTAAGCACGTATAAAACTGGTCACTAATTACTAGACTTTGGTATATAAGACAATGAACACTTATACTTAATAATAATATTTTGATAACTAAAATCATATTTACACATTTTGATGTAAAGATGGATTTCTCGTGACGTAATTTGTTTAGATTGCACTGGAGGCAGAAGAGAAATCAATAAATCATTTTCACTAACATAGATTTAACAACATCAAGCGACCAATCATTAATTTTTGTAGTTTAATAATAAGTACTTCCGCCTCCAACACAAACATTGCAACCCGTCTATACAGTCTATATACATACTTTAATATTAACCAAACCTGGCACTACATAATTTTTGGTTCCAGCAACGATATTGACTAGAAGCCTTACAAAAATATATTTCTTCATACTTGCACACCAACTGAAATCCCGAAATTACGCCATCGCAAACGAAGAATACTGCCGGCCGTTTAGTATTTCAAGCTGACTTCAAGCAACAATATGGCCGGCTGCCGGTTATTTAGGCTTGACAAGTAAAAACTATACAGCCGGCTGCCGGCTGTCTAGCCACTTCGTTATTTATTATTATAGAGAAGCCAAATGAATTCTACTTTTAATACTGCGATGATCTCTTTAGCAATCTGGGTCAAAGAAAATATCATTGCAATAATAGGTATCTATTCATGTTTATTTTACCGTGATTTTATGAAGCATCTGCGCTAGTCTCTTATATAAGTTATATTGATGTAATTTAACGATATTTTATCCTATATTAGCAGTTGACAATTTGTGCCCTATTTGATACATTTGATGTTAGAGAAAGTTTTTTGTTTCATGGAATATATTTGCTTATGTAATATGTCTTTTGATAACATTATTGAGACATAAAATCTCCTACAGGTTACCTGAAAGTACTATTTAATAGCCTGCTGAAAAATTTGAATTCAACTTGTATTCTAACAAATACTGTCAGTCATTCAATTGCCCAGCCATTGATTGTGTTCTATAGTGAGTTTGAATTGTGGACTGATACATTTATCAACTATATAAATAAATCTACAATACCTATGATTAATTATAATTCTTGTCTATTTTAAGTTTTCACCAAGATTGAATGAAGGCCTCAAATTTGGCAAATTAAGGGGAAACTTTAATTCTAATGATATGACAAGGGTATGAAGGGATATTTACTGTCAACAATGAAAGTGTATACAATTAATGTATCCAACCATGGAAGAAAAACAAAATATTTCATCTATGATAATTTAGAAATATCCCTTCCTTGCTGACTCAATTGTGGTTGTGGAACAGTAAGTGATAACCTTGTTGTTGTAATCTTTATGATTATCTGTGTTTACCAAACTTGGTTTCTGTCGACCCTTTTCATCTTAGATTTTGTATTTTGTGTGGTTTGTATTTTGAAAATAATCCTGAAAATCCTGATCCTGATTTTAAAATGTTCCTGAACTAGGGTGTCAGTATAGTTGAATAGTTGGGAGTAGGAAATTGAATCTGGTTGTAGGCATGCTATCAAAAAATACAGTATAACACCTCTATTATACGTATATACCCTTATTAAATGGATCTGACTTGTTAAACATGATAATTCAATTCATTATGATACAGGGTTCATGGACCATAACAAGGCCAAGGGTAGAAACAATTTTAGAAGAATATCCTGCACTTCAGCTTATTACAGAGGTAAGTTTGCTTTTAGTTTACAGCATTCATGTTGATATAAGGTACCTGTTGGATTGATGTCAAGTGCTCTATTTCAACACTTTGCCATAATTCTTGTTGACAAACAATCCAAACAGATAATTGAACGTCAAATTTCTTTGTTCGACATAATACCCTACCCCTAACCCTAAGTGTGACAAAACTCTGTGGGCTGATTTTGTTTTTTAAACATTTTTAAAGTCCTCTTTAAAAATATTTGTTATTTATTATAGGTTGTTGATTCCATAGATCAGGACCCAAGGCTAATTCGTTCAGAAGACCTTTCAGATGTTCAAACTTTGATGATTGCGGTGGAGGGGCAAATGTTAACTTATCAAAGAACAGACTCAACTTCATTTTATCTACTAAACATGGACTACATTGCTGGTGTGGCAAATGTGTGTGCATTCTTGGAAACTGCTCTCGTCGGGAAGCCTTAGGACAAAAACTTTTGAAGGACGTTAAGTACCGTAAACATTTTAAACATTCTTGTAGCTACGTAGATTTTCCAGTCACAGCATATGCAAAAATAAATATTTTTTAATCGCATTTGGTCTACTTCGTATGATTATAGCTTACGCTATTTAGTCGCTCCATTGCTAGCGCTAAAAGTGCAAAAACTAATCCACACAAACTTCAGGTGTTAGATTAACACCAAAAGTAGGCGTCAAACTAGCACCAAAGATCGTGCTAATTTGACACCTTATTTCGCGGTGTCAATTTAGCACCCGAAATGGTGTTATTCTGTACCTTTTTATTTGACACCTTTTTTGGTGTCAATATGACACCGCAAAATTAACAGTGTACCAACTGAGCTACATGGCCAACTGCGGGTTTTTGATATTTCGAAACAATACTAGTTTCTTCGATATCATGAGCTTATCAGCTCAAAGGTGGATTAATTAGGATGAGGATGGTACTCGGGAAAGGGAATGATTTGTAGTAGGATGACACCGAGTGGCAGCCCGCAATGGCAAGCAGAAAATTCCACTTGACCACGGCAGGATTTGAACCCGCGGCCTTCGGTATACTAGTCCGATGCTCTACCAACTGAGCTACATGGCCAACTGCGGGTTTTTGATATTTCGAAACAATACTAGTTTCTTCGGACTAGTATACCGAAGGCCGCGGGTTCAAATCCTGCCGTGGTCAAGTAGAATTTTCTGCTTGCCATGGCGGGCTGCCACTCGGTGTCATCCTACTACAAATCATATATATATATATATATATATATATATATATATATATATATATATATATATATATATATATATTCTTGCATATTTAAGTGGTTGCGTTTTTTTTGGGACACCCTGTATACACCCATTTGCAAAAACGTTGATAGATAGATAGATAGATAGATAGATAGATAGATAGATAGATAGATAGATAGATAGATAGATAGATAGATAGATAGATAGATAGATAGATAGATAGATAGATACTCAAAATCTAATTAGAATTGTATAATTATGTTGTGTAATAGGATAATTGAGAAAACTTAATCGGGGGGGGGGGGGGGGTAAGCCTTGCTAGGAACTCTTGAACCGCGTATTAATTGATCTAAACAAAATGTAGTCCCATCCAATTGATCTATTCTTCTCTATTATATAAAAGATCGTATTGTCGTGCTCTATTTTGAACCGATTAGCGTGTTGGTAAGTTTATATCTTCAACCGTTTCCTTTTTAATTTAAACGACGACCTACAAATTGCAGGCACCCAGCATAGATCAGTCATAAGTGTAAAGACTTAATTGTTCAATAGCGCATTACCCTTAACTCTCCCTTCTGCAGCGATAAACTAACTACCTTTGTTTCGTATTGTTAACGCAGCCTCTTGCAAACAGTATTTATCGAGCAAAACGTCAATATTTTGTAAAGTATAATGTCTGGAAGAAAGGTAATTATACTAGACAATCCTGAGGAGACAATCCTCAATATTGATGAGAACAAAACTACAACTATATGAATATCATTAATATTGTCGTTTAAGATGGTGTGCTTTTTATATTACATGCACAGCCAGACAAAGAGATATAGATGGATTTGACAAATGTCATAGTAAGGGTTATTAACCCGAAGGATACTCGACAGTTTAAGAAACACTCTTTAGAATCTTTCTGCTTGGTAAAGAATATAGAACAAATGCAAGAGACGTTCTTTTCCTACTTCGGGGATGAAGTCGGTGCGGCCTCAGATAAGGAAATTGAATTTGGCTGGATCGGCCAAAAAAATAGTAAGAAGCACATGAAGACGGAAAGCGATTTCGAAGATGCTTTTTGCTATTTGGAGGGGACTAATAAGGCAACCCTCTTTGTAGCAAAGAAAAAACAGGAGGCAGGCAGCAAGCACTTTTTCGGTGAGATATTTTTGCTTTGTTTTAGAACGTGTAACAGAACTTCTCAATATTGAATGCATGGTTGATTTTAGCTTATGTTCATAATTAATCGTCAAAACTCAAAACGTTATTCAAATTTAGACACCAGCGAAAGCGATGAACTGTCTGAAGACGACAATTTTCTCACAAGCCGTTCATCTAAGTCTAAGAAACGAAGAAAAAGCAGTAAATGTGCACGTGAGATATTTAATAAGCTAGAAGAACTGCACGGGAAAAATTATCCACGTGGACATTTGATGCTCTGGACTCAAACAATAGTACGTATGATCATGGATATTTAAATATATTAGCAATATATGGCATTAATAAATTACAGCTGTCTATCTCGCTGGTATTAATTGGGGAAACAACACTAGTTTTTTAAAAATATATCCACGTTGGTCATATTCGGCAAATTTTCTCCCGGTAAAGAGGGCTCAGTTTTCCAGCGGTCTTCGCATGAAAAATTAAAAGCTTTTCGTTTTACGCCTTGCTCTCAATTTTGTGTAAGTTGTCCGCTGACAATATGAGCCTGCACGAGTGGGAGAAACTTAGCTAAGTTGGACCTGCGTGATCCACATGCACCATGCAGTGCACGTGCGCGTGCAATATAATTATATTTTGTCATATTATAACAACGTGCGGTTAAAAGAATGCATGTACACAAATCTGAATTTACACCAATTAGGAAATGGGCCATCACGATAGTTATGAAATGGCACCTAGCCTTCCTATTTTTGGAGGAACTGAATCAAAATCAACGAAAAGCAACACCAGAGAGGATCAAACTCTCACTGAAGCGTTTTCCTCTGCAGCGGAAGCTATTGCCGGGGAATTAAAGGATCCAGCTAACGCAACTACTGAGTTGTCAAAGAACGCACTGGTATGAAATTTTGACTGTAAAAGTATATAAGCATAACATTTGAATTTTTATGCGTTTTATCGCCAGTTTAGCTTAACCAATATGTTTTTTATTAATTTTTTTTGCATGTAGAGTAGCCGAACACAGCTGATAAATCAATTGAAATCACTTCAAGAATTAAGGAGTTTAGGTGCCTTGGACGAGGAAGAATTTACTGAGCAAAAACAAATCATTGTTAACGAACTGCGGCGTTTATAATCGACATGCACAGTTGTTGTGATTATGTGTATATTGATATCTGTTATGAACTTTTAGTCATATTTCATAATTGTTTCATTTTTCATATTTTCGTTGTAAATTTTTCATATTTTCGAGTAATTTCGTTGTAATATCATATATCAGTAAGAGTGATTGAAATATGCATGCATCACTGATTTATTTGGAGTGACAGTAAAAATGATATGCTCAAGATACAAACTATTAAATTGGTTTTACCAATTTATAGGTAATTAATGCACATAAAAGTATCACTCGTTTTAGTTATACGTAGCCGCAGTGTCGAAACCAGGCCCGTAGATCTGAGTTAAATGCATGGCAGAAGGCAAGTTGAGCCAACAATCTATGGTTATTTGTTGACAAGAATAAGATTTCATGTTCCCTGATCCAGTTCTTCACCTTTGCAAAAACCATCTCGATCGGATTTAGTTGTGGACAATACGGAGGAAGAAAAATCAACATTGCTCCGGTTCTCTGAATTGCATCTTTCACTTCTCTCACATGATGCACCGGATGGTTATCTGAAATAATTAGCAATTCAACGTTTTCATCATGGTTGCCATATAGTATCAGTAAAGTAATCTTGAAATAGAATATAAAAACATCTTTCTTCAAATAAGGCTCTCTTCCTGCACTTCTTTCGTAGAGTGTAATTATATAAATCTGCCACAAAACTAATGTAACTACAGAATTTGCGTTGAACCCATCGTATGGACTTAGAATTGGCGTGAGATCACGTTCCACGACTGTAATAAATCTTCTGGCATTCATAGACATTCCCGTTAACTTAATGGCTTCAATTCCTCTGACTGAAATAGCTGCGGCGATTGAAAGTTTTGGGCCTGTCTTCCAAATATGTTGTTTCGTCGCAATGGAACCACGCGGGCTTGCACCATAATTTCGTATGATTCCTCGATTCTAAAATGGCGATTTCCAAATACTTAGTTAGCAAGAGCATTAACGCATGAATTAAAAATTCTTGCCACCAAATTGAACATTAAATTTTTATACTTACTCACCATGATATAGTTTTTCAAACTAGCTAACATTATTTTAGTTAAGATCAAATAGATTTTAGTGGCATGACCCGCGTTATCATGCATGATTGAAAGTTTAAACCCTGGAAAATAGAAAAAACCCGTGTTAAAAACCTGTTGTTATATACGGTTACAATACTTACAATGCTGAATTCATCAACGAAGATGAGTTCTTCAGGTCGGAATAAAGGCAAAAGCTCCCAGTAATTTGTAATAGCATTGCTTCTTGCTCCTTGTGCGATTTTCTTTATCTATGGAATAGTTGTAAAGATCTAGCGTTTATTATAGTTCTCATAAAATTCAACAAGTAGTCTAATACATGTATATCACCAAAAATTAGGTAACAGGAAAAGCTGATATTTAAGACGCAATATTCTCTAAAATTATCTTAATGCCCCTATCTATGCGATCGCGTTTACTATAATTGCTATATCCGTGACAACTACATTTGCAATCATCCGATTATAGCATCGTTAAAAATCGATGTTAAGAATTTTAATTCCTAAGATAAACTAGGAAACCTAATGATACTGAATATTTGACGACTTTATGCTGGGATGCATGTAAACTGGACTCCTTCTGGTAATTTATTTGTACATGCAAGTTCACTGAAAACACGATACGTTAACTTCAATATAATTCATGTTTTCTGCATGACGTTAATCTAAAACTAAGATTATCAGTACAAAGCAAAGCAATTTATATATAATGCGCCTGCTGTTGCGTGACCAAAAAAAACGTTTACCAACAAATATTCTTTTGTTCCCTGGAACCAAAGTACCCCACCTTAAAGTAGCTAGTCATAAAATTCATATGAACAGTA